TATGAGTGTGTGTGTGTGAATGTTTCCCAGAGATGGGTTGCGGCTGGAAGGGCATCCGCTGCATAAAAAAAACTTGCTGGATAAGTTGGCGGTTTATTCCGCTGTGGCGACCCTGTATTAATAAAGGGACTAAGCCGACAAGAAAATAAATAAATGAATAATATAAGTGTATGCTCAGGGTTCTACCAGAAAGACCAGGGAGAAATTATGATACTGAATAACATTTATTGATGAGTATTGTTTGAGAAGAGTATCATGAAACAGGATTTCTTTGGCGGAGGCCCTCTCCATAGCTTGGTTTGGAAGCTTTTAGATCCAGCTACGTCTGCCGAGGACGAAGGCAGGGGCAGAGCCTTCCCTCCCCCTGGACGGGGCCAACCTGGGGGTGGGGGGAGGATGGTGGGTGAACGTCTGCGTCGGTGCCTGCAATCAAATGAATGAAATGAAGGGACAGCTTAAATATTCTTTGTGTCTCTTGCCTATTGGTTGGAACTCATTGTGATGAGTGACGTGGCATTAAGTATTCCTTGTGTCTCGTGGCTATTGGTTGGAACTGATTGTGATGAGCTACGTGACATTTAGGTCTTCCTGGTAGAACTACCGCTACAAGCTAAATGTCTCTCCCAGGACAGCATCCCAGACCTGCTATCAATGCCAAGCATATCTAACTCTTAAAACACAATTATCTGATGCATAACCTGGAAATCTCCAAAAATTTTGAATTACAAAAAAATAAAGGTAAAATAGGCATTGCATGTATAGCTATTGCATTATTATTGATTGCAAGTTATTGTAATACATTTATCCGAATATTTATTGTACTGAATTAAAATGCATGATGCAGGCTTAAAATAAATCATAGGAATCACTGATATTTATTCCCAAAGGTTTTTTTTCCACATAGTTAAACATGAAGCTAGCATAAATCCTTAAATGTATTTAGTAGAGAAACAGAAAATACTTAGTTTAATGTTTGTTTTTTTAATGCATGATTTATGTTGCTAGTGAGAGGTTGATCTTTCAGAGCTGCTTTACTGGCATCTAGAGGTGAAAATGTACAGTGAACTCAAAATTGACTACAATCAAAACAAAACTTCTGCTATCATTTATTTAAACTCTTGTTTAAAGCATGACATTAATTGACAATAATAAAACAACAACAACGCTGTGTTCCCTCTGTGTCGGATGGTGACGTAATTTCTTTGTTCCACTTCCCGCCACTGGTTGATTTCTATTAGTTTCACCTGTGTTTGAAATCATTAGGCAGTGTATTTAAGTTCCTGGTTCTCGCTAATTCCCTGTTTCGTCTTGTCTTCCCCACATCTCTACTACCTGTCCTTGATCTCATGCTTTTTTTTTAGATGTTTGACTTCATCTTAATTAAAAATAAATTTGTCTTTGGCTTCACCACATAATTACATTAAATATCTTCACATAAGAACACAAAGACATATAACATTGTCAAACAAAGTATCTTATAACTCTTAACAATTAACTCCAATCATGCTCAAATCCCAGTATTTAAAAATTCTAATGGCAGTCGGCTCAGATGACGTTTCTTACATGTTTGTCCTGGCTTTAGGAAGGATAAAATGTCATTTTAATGGCAAAATCTGAAATTTAAAATTCAAGTGATGAGAACAATCTTCAAAAATCATGTGCTTATTTGACTACTTATTTAACAGTCTTTGTGGTTTGCCTTCAGTTGCACTGTCCACTTTTACTATGTAACAGTTGCTTTTATTTAACTGGCAATACAGTAGCTCATACCATGTAGACATGTCATTTGTTTAAAACACTCTCAAATTCTAAGATACCATACGGGATACCACACCGTTGTGCAGTGGACTTGCACAAACAAAATTATATACTACATATAATTTTTCTGGATTTATTTTTATTTTTTTGCTTTTTTAAAGCAAATCTCTTTGGCTACATTTTGTATCTCAATTTTAATGCTTTTTTTTGTTGTTGTTGTTGGTCAGTTATCTACTAGATAGACAATTTGATTTAATTTAGACAACAGTTGAAGTGCTTCAAAACAAGGCTATATGCTTTAGTGGCAAAATACAAACTGGTTTGTTAATATAATCCAGCCGAAATAAAAGTGAAGTGAAACATTCACAGTTTCAGAGAATCCTATATCAAACTGTTTATGATAAAACCATCCATTGCATCACTCAGTTTCAATCTAAGTAAAAAATTAAGTAAATTAAATAAGACATGCTTTTACAAAGTATTCGCAGCACTGAACGTGTCCCCAGATTACCTCAGAAGAACAAACTCGGTCGGAAGTCTGAGAACTCAGAAACTCGTTGTGAGAATGGATATGTCTGCATATTTGTGCCAGTCCAACGAAATCTCATAGCAATTCATAACTTTTTGATTTAGTGGCTAATTCGTATGAATTCGTACGATCCAATTCATACAATTTAGTACGATTTCCTCATCACCCAATGACTGTTGGGGTTAGGTGCCATGCCTCCTTTTTAAAACAGTACATTTTTATACGATTGAACGTGTACGAATTAGCCACTAAACTTGCAAAACGTAAAATACTTAGGTTTCCTTGTGAGATCAGGCTGGCCAGTCTGTTAGATTACATTTATAAACCTTAATACTTTAGAGAAAGTAGTTAAAGTTTGCATGACCAATGATTGATCTTCTCTATCCGCAACCCACCCATAAGGAAATATGCATCTAATGCTGCGGTCACATTAGAGTTTGTGCGTGTGAAATTGTTGCACGGCGCTGCGAAAATGGGGCAGGATTAAACGAGATTATTAGACATTTAAAAAAGCGAGTGTTTGGTCCATGTTTTAAATTTCTGTCCAGAGAGGTCATGTATTGATCCTCAATTGGTCTCGCAGACAAGTGGTTCGATTTCACAGGTCAGAGTGCACCAAATTTGATGAATTTGCGTGCGGAATGGAAGTCTTTGAGGAGAAAATTGCAGTGTGACCGCAGCTTTATTTATTACCTGACCTGCAGATTAACGGCAGCACCCATGAATATAACCCAGAAATTGGTCAGTGTCACCCACATGAAGGAACTCCTCGTGAAGAACGAGGAAAAAATTAAACATGCAAGACTTTCTGCAGTGGTGTCATGAGGTGTTGCAGGTGTATGGTATGCCACATTATATGAGAAGAAATGGTTTAATCTTGTGTCACGATGCCCATTTGTTGTTTAAGAATCCCCACAACATCCTACGTCAAGGAAATTGTGCCGAAATCTGTAAAAATAGTGACTGATGTCCTGACATTTTATTTTAGCCCTTAGGTATATGCTATCAACGGTGTTTATATGGTTCTGTGGTTGGGGTTAGGGTGATATCACAGCTTCATATCACACCACTTCACATTAATTTACACTAGTAGCAAAATTTGATGGGTAGCATCATTTGTGTAATCAAAATGTGCCAACTACTTTTTGAATGGGAGTTGGGACAATCTGACATGCTAGGAAAAATTGACAACACCCAGCCTGATCTAACCAGAAAACATCAGTATTTTACGTTTAGCCAGTTTAGTGGTGAATTCGTGTGAGTTCGGTCGTACAATAATTGAAACCATTTTAAAAAGGAGACATGGCACCCAACCCCGCCCCTAAACCCAACCGTCATTAGGTGATGAGCAAATCGTACTAAATTGTACAAAGTAGATTGTATGAATTAACCACAATCTAAAATTTACGAATTGCAGTGAGATTGCGTTGGAACACCGGGGCTTTAGTATCAGATAAATATCTCATTGAATGGAGCACCAGCCACATATAAGCTATTGCTCTATTTACAATAAGGATAAAAACTGCCTAACACAGCAAACAAAAAAATATTTCATATTTTAGACACACAAAAGATTTCAACCTGCCCTTGTTAAGTAATTTTGACAGATTTGATCATGACAGACTCTGAGACAAACACAGAGCTGGACATATACACAATGTCTTGAGATACTTAATTTGAAACATGGGATCATTGGTTGCTCATTTGTGTGTGTGATAATGTTTTCAAGCCTGTTTTCTGAAAGTTTCAATACAAGTTAATATTGAATGTGTTGTATTAAATTAACCTTATTACATCCCAGTATTGTTCTTTGACCCATTGTTACACCCATCAAATAAATAACTCATTGAAAGGAGCGCCAGCCTCATATAGGCTACGGCTCTTTATTTACATTAAGGATAAAAATAGCCTACATAAAGTAGATTATATAATGTGCTATGAATGTAACTAGCCTATGGTAAAGTGTAGTGTATGTGCAGTGTAATGCAACATTTGTTATAGTTCTACATTTTATTTTCGACTTTACCCCTTTATTAATCCGGGGTCGCAACAGCAGAATGAACTGTCAACTTATTCAGCATATGTTTTACACAGCGGATGCTCTTCCAGCTGCAACCCATCACCGGGAAACATCCATACACACTCATTCATATGCTATGGACAGTTTAGCTTACCTAATTCATCTTTTAGAACATGGAGAGAACATGCAAACTCCACACAGAAATACCAAATGACCCAGCTCGAACCATCAACCTCCTTGCTGTGAGGCGATTGTGCTACCCACTGCACCACTGTGCTGCCCGGTCTCTTTCTAAACGAACAATAATAATGATGATTGAAATAACTTTCAAGAGTTCACACTTAGATATTGCTTGACAACTGTTAGCAGGTTTGGCATGCTGTCCCGGGAGAGAACCCTGAGCTCGGAGATAGTCGAGCCCAGGGCTCCCGCCAGGTCCATAGAGCATGTGAGGGGAGTACGAGATCAGGTGGTTCTCGAGAGCTCCCCTTTTTGTAAAGGAGAAAAGGAGGAGAAAGGGGTGGATGGGGGGTTTCTTCGGAAAACGAAGATAAGGGAGTAATATCTAGCTAGGCTACTTATAGTGGGTTAGGATAGATCTGATTGGCTAACTAATGAGTGTAGATAGGTGGCCAGCTGCAGTCAATTATATCACGTGCTCCTCTCGAAATTAGTTTAAAAACTTTACTTAAAATGCATATAAATGGTTGTGAGGTCATTTCTAATCATAAAAACCCAAATTTACAGCATGTTGTACTAATAAATTCTAATGTAATACATTGTATTTTTAAAGTATATACTTTTGGCTAAATATCATTCTGTTTTTACTTGTTTCACAATTTAGCATAGCATAAGTCCTTTTTTACAATTTTTGTATTCTTAAATGAATATGAAGAGAATCGGAAGCGGGTCAGGTGATGGCAATGAATGATCTAAATCAAGCAAACGCAAAATATTTAATATTTTAAACACACAAAAGATTTCAACCTGCCCTTAAGTAATTTTGACAAAAATTTGATCATGACAGACTCTGGACAAACTCTGTGACAATTAAAAAGCTAGATATACACACAAAGTGTCTTGGGATACCTTATTTAAAACATGGGATCATTAGTTGCTCATTTGTGTCATCAAATGTTTTCAAGTCTGTTTACTAAAAGTTTCAATACAAGTTAATATTGAATGTGTTGTATTAAAATTTAACCTGATTATATCCCAGTATTGTTCTTTGACCCATTGTTACACCCATAGGTGATCAAACTTCACTCTTTTACGGCTCTGATGAGGAAGAGACTGATTTATTATTTCTCTTTTCTGTCCTGACTCTGAGTCATTGACAAAGACTTGGAGAAAGAAGACGAATGCTTTCAAGCTGGATTTTGGAGAAACTTGTTTCTGATTCTTGTGGTTGTTAGCTTTGTTAAACCATCGTTTAAGATTTCTACATTTCTGAAACTAAAACAGTATGGCTTCGCTATCTGAAGATTTTTCTTGTGTGTCGTGACATCTTCAAGTCTCCTCTTATTTTATCTTGTAGTCACAGTGTGTGCAAAAAGTGTCTTCAGCAGTTCTGGATAAAGAAAAAAATTCAAGAGTGTCCCGTCTGTAAGAGAAGATCTTCAAAAGATGATCCTCCAATAAACAGTGATAAAAATCCAGTGTAAAATGTTGCGGAAGGAGAAAAAAGAGAAACGCTCATCAGGATCAGAGGAGATCTGCAGTTTGCACAAAGAGAAACTCCAACTCTTCTGTGTGGAGGACGAACAGCTGGTGTGTTTAGTGTGCAGAGATGCAAAACAACACAACAAACACAAATTCAGACCCATCAGTGAAGCGGTTTCATCACACAAGGTAAGACAAATAATTATAAATACAAGGATGTGTCTGTGGGGCGAGGCAGTGGCGCAATAAGTAGTGCTGTCGCCTCACAGCGAGAAAGTCGCTGGGTCGCTGGTTCGAACCTCGACTCAGTTGGTGTTTCTGTGTGGAGTTTGCATGTTCTCCCTGCCTTCGCGTGGGTTTCCTCCGGGTGCTCTGGTTTCCCCCACAGTCCAAAGACATGTGGTACAGGTGAATTAGGTAGGCTAAATTGTTCGTAGTGTATGAGTGTGTGTGGATGTTTCCCAGAGATGGGTTGCGGTTGGAAGGGCATCCGCTGTGTAAAAAACTTGCTGGATAAGTTGGCAGTTCATTCCGCTGTGGCCACCAAGAATTAATAAAGGGACTAAGCCAACAAGAAAATGAATGAATGAAAAAATATGGGCCTGTTTTTAAACCGTGGGGAAGACGTGAGAGGAGTTGCTAAATTAATGAATTTGACTAAAAATAAAACTAATCAGTTGTGGATTATTTTGGAGGATACTTGTGAAAATGTTTACTTTTTAGAACAGTTGGGGAAAATTTGTCACTTAGGCTACATTTTATATATCAAAGTTTACTTCGTACTTAATGCCAAACCTTTTATACTATAATAAAACACAATTTACTTAACTTTTGCACAAAATATATGCATTGTTTTTCCTCAAAGCTTTAAAAAACTGCTCCAAATCGTTCATCTTTGAATGAGGAGTCATGGTAATTTTTACAAATAGAGTTGTGCCCTCTGCCAATAAAATGTTGCGCCAACACCGCAATGCCGTCACATTCACTGCTCACACCCCAGCAAATTTGCAGACACGTCGAAAATAATATTAGCCTTTAAGCTGTGGTCACACTGGGCTTTTCTCCTCGTAGACTTCCATTCATTCGCACGCAAATGCATCCGACCGGGTCATGCGTCAAGTTTCGCAGGTTGCTGCCGTGCAAAGTTCAAGCTTGGTGTACTTTGACCTGAGAAATTGCATTCCTTGACTGTGTGAGACCAATCGAGGATCAAAACATGACATCTCTGGACAAATTTAAAACATGGAGCAATCGCTCGCTTTTTTAAAATGTCTAATCTTGTTAAATCCCTCCCCTTTTCGCAGCGCCACGACAGAATATTGCATGCTCAAACTCTAATGTGACCGCAGCTTAGGTTTGTTACCTGTTACCTCAATACTTGCCTGCTGTTTGTTTGCTAAAGCTCAAACTTCAGCAAATCAACTGCAACCACCTATCAGACTCTGAAACGGTGTCTCAGAAACTCAGAAAATCCGGCAGGGGGGGATGTGGCTTGCTGTCGGGGATGAGGTGACTGAATAAAACGGCTAAGAACCAGGAAAGTAACTATGCACCGGGTTTCGGGCGGCTGGTGCAATCGGACATTAAACCAAAGTCGACGACCCAGGGGTGTTACAGACTGTACCACCAAAAAACTTTTCATGGGAAATTACGTTCGTTTTCTGGGAGAAAATAACAAAAAATAACAAATCCGGAGGGTGGTGGGAGATGGGTCTGAAATACGGAAGAATCCTGTATTGTTGGCAGGTATGGATGTCTTTCTCATGTCTTTATTCGCTGAGATTCCAGCAAGTTTGCCAACCCCAGAAGGTTCATAACAATGAAACTGGCATAAAAGCACATCTGGACTGAGCCCCTCCATCAGAGAATCGTCAATATCAATTGATGATTGGCTCCATTATAAAAAGGCAGGGCTTCCTTCCCTAAAGCAGCCATATTGACTGACACTTTTCCATATTCACTATATGAGTGACACATTTAATGTATTCTACAGTCTTTGACACAGTGTAGTTTGTCACCTATTACCTGTAGCTCTAGAGTTCCCCTAGTGGACACTCCATAGATAACACATCAGTCTTTTTCTTTACAGGTAATCATCAAATTTCAAAACAAGCTTGACTGTGCGAGTCATATTTAATTATGCAAATCAAATCATCTAATCAAATAGATTCTGTAGTACCTATTTAAGGATTATATCAATCTTTTAATCACTACATATTCTTTTCACTGTAATCTGGAGTTGGTGTTTTTGTTTAATTCTAGGAGGAGCTCAAGACAGCACTGAAGTCCTTGAAAGAAAAACTTAAACACAATGAAGATGTTAAAGGGGAGTTAGAGAAAACTGTTCAACACATCAAGGTGGGGATTGATATCATTTTGATTATAATATTTACCATACCAGCATGGTGGCTCAGTGGTTAGCACTGTCACCTCACAGTAAGAAGGTCACTGGTTCAAGTCCCAACTGGGCTGGTTCGCATGTTTGTGTGGGTTTGCTATGGGTGCCCCAGTGATTGTCTATCTGCAGCTATTCAGAGAACTTGTAGGAATTCAGAGTGTCTTGTTTTCTGGAGGATGTTGCCTTCAGCCTTGGCAGGAGTGTCGCAGGGAACCCGAAAAAGAAAGAAAAAAAAAAAGGTTTCCAAATTTGGCTCAATATCTTCCAATTTCACAGACATCTACTGTCTATCACTGGTGTCCAGGTCTGTTCAAATCTCGTTGGAATGCCGCTAGTTTCTCCACAATGTTTTCCAATGTGAAGTCTATAACCACACTCTAAGTACTAGCAGCTCTGCTAGCCACAGTTTCAATCCAGCCATCCAGCTTGGTGGGGTTTTGAGCTGCACTGACCACTTATCATTTGTCGATACCCCAGGGCCCACACCTAAACCCATCCATAAAAACACTGTAGTCAGTTGGAAATAAATATCTTCAATATTCTCTAGGAAAAGAGCAGCAAATCACACAATGTGCCACTTCTCCCACCTGTCCATCATGTATCCAACTGCAAACATTAATGCAGGACAGTTGGGTTCCTCTGAACCCAGGCGTCTTGTCGAGAAGATGCTGTCAATTGCTTTCAGAGACCAGTTGATTAAATCCATAATTTCAGTAACAAAGGTTAATGGTTAACGATGAACAACTCTCGTCTGTAAAGTGTGAGTAAATATAATCGTTAAGTGTTAGTTATTAGCTTAAGCATGTTATTGGGACGTTATTCTAAAGTTGCAACTATTCCTCATTTACTAACAGTTAATAAATGAAGAATAGCTGCAACTTTAGAATAACGTCCCAATAACAAACACACCATTAACTGATACCTAACAAGCCTTTAAGTTATTTACTAACCGCTTGTTCATGATGTATTACTAATTTATTAGGTATAGTTATAAATCATTAAAATACAGTTAAGAAGTCATTTACAACTTGTTAACTAACAGCTTGTAAGTTATCTATTAGCCATCTATAAGGCACAGTTATAAATAATTAACAAACTATTAACTTTTATTTAACAAGTCATTTATAACTTAACTAAGTTTATTAATGGTCTATTAACTAGTTATAACGGATAGTTATTCTAAAGGGGTATCATAATTTCTTATTGTTTGGAGAGACAGGCAAGGAGACCCTCAAAGATAGAATTAGACAAGACAAGAAGAGAGGGAGAGGGAAAATTTGAGTCTTCGCCGAGAGCCAGAGAAGAAAAGCTAAGGACAGTTTAGTGTCAAAATGCCCCTTAGCTTTAACAAAGTCCCAGTAACTGTGGTTTCTTAGGGCTTATTGCTTTAATGACATGTGTGCGTGGCTCAGTGGTTAACAGTGTCACCTTACAGTAAGAAGGTCACTGGTTTGAGTCCAGTTGGCATTTCTGAGTTTGCATGTGGGTTCCCCTGGTGCTTTGGCTTGCCTCACAGTCCAAGACATGCAGTGTAGGTGAACTGTGAAAAACTTGGCTTTCCCAGTTCTGGATTGTGGCTGAAATGCCATTTGCTGCAAAAAAAAAAAAACATATGTAACTCTGCCGGTCCTACGCCACCCACCCACTCCGAGCTGGTATCAAACCGGCGACCTTCCGCATGGGAGTCGGTTGTTCTACCAAGGAGGTAGAAGAACATGGCCTCTAGCGTGTGTCGCTAGAGCACCTTTAGAGGTCAGAGGAGTGAGGTTTACCTGCACAGCACTTACTAACTGGCCTCCGTTACACTCACCCCCCTAAACCTCACTCCCATCCGGGTCACGGCACCAATGTAACCCCGCCAGTCCTACACCACCCAACCCGCTCCGAGCTGGTATCGAACCGGCAACCTTCGGCATAGGAGTCGGTTGTTCTACCAAGGAGGCTAAAGACCATGGCCTCTAGTGTCTGTCGCTAGAGCACTTTTAGAGGTCAGAGGAGTGAGGTTTACCTGCACAGCACACACTAGCTGGCCTCCATTACACATACACCAACGTGATAGGCATGTTCATTCCGCTGTGGCAACTACTGATAAATCAAGAACTAAGCTGAAGGACAGTGAGTGACATTGATGTGTTGATATAGATGGTTAATTGTCTGTTTTTTGGTTTAAGACTCAAGCCAACCACACCGAACATCAGATTATACACCAATTTGACAAGCTTCATCAGTTTCTCCGAGATGAAGAAAAGGCTACAATCACTGCACTGAGGAAGGAAGAAGAGCAAAAGAAGCAGATGATGAAGGTGAAGCTGGAGGAGATAAACACACACATCTCAGCTCTTTCACACACGATCAGAGACACGGAGGAGATGCTGAAAGCCAAAGACGTCTGCTTTCTGAAGGAGTTTCCAGGCTCAATGAAAAGGTGAGTGATCTGCTGCTCTCTCTGCTTCTGAAGCCAAAGCCACTGCAGCTCTGACTCCTGAATGTTCTTCTAGAGTTCAGATCTCACAGCCCAATCTACAGATGCCCTCTGGAGCTTTGATTCATGTGTCTCAGTTCTTGGGGAACCTGCAGTACAAAGTTTGGAGGAAGATGCAGGACATCATCCAGTACTGTAAGAGTCTACACTACATCTGCCATCTAGGGCTGGGTGATTTAATCAAAGTGATTTTCATGCATTTTAACAGTAAAACCAGTTCTAGTGAACGTGACGTTAGATGGAGCGGAGACTACTACACAGAGTTGTAGTACAATTGTAAGCTACGAAAAAAAATCTGTTTAAATTTGACTGTTTTAATCGTTCAATAATGTTCTGCAATAATGAGAGCTGTTTACATCGCTTCTCAGTGAACTACAGTTGTAGTAAATACTGCATGTGACATTAAAACAAATAATAACATGTTTTTACTCCAAACTTGCCTCTAATCTACAGTTAAGTGTTTGAAAGTAGTTATGTGATGTTGTGCGCCAAGGCTGCGAAGCGTTTATCAAAAAATCTATCTAACTATCTCGCAGTAAAGCAGTGTACCGGAGCTTGATTCGTTTTGCCATCATCATGTGATCAGTGATGTCCGAAGCTTCATTTTCGCCTATACCCACATGACTGCTTCACATTTTGATTCAAAGTTTTAAACAAACTCATGGGTTAGTAAAGTGTATAGCGAGAGATAAGGCGTCGATTACATACATTTCTACCGTTTTCAAGCACTGCACTGGTCCCACACACCAGTAATTAACTAAAATTAAACTAAAATACAATAGTAATTTATAGTAAAAAGGTTTTGAACCATACTAAAGTGTATTAGCGTATTTTTTACAACTATCTACTATAATATAGTAGTATAGTGTTTAATGGAGACGAGCTGGCAAGTGCAGCCCGAAAGCATCACTCACATAGCCTCCTCCTAGAGCATTCGCCTCCCATGCAGGAGTTGCTGGTTCGATCCCCACTTGGAAGGGGACTAGTTGGAACATGATAATTGTAAATACTTTTAAATACCTTTTACTACAGTCATCATAGTGTACTGTGACATACCTTCTGTGTAAAAACTACAGTAATTGAGTAATTTGTTTATATTATTGTTGTTGCATTACTACATGAATTTATTGGTCAGTTGTGAACATTTGACATTATTGCAACACAGTGCTTTCTCGCACTTTAACCAGAAGAGGTCCTCATCGAGCTCTGATTTAGAAAGCTTCGAGTAACAAAGATTTTTTCAATACAATTGAGTCGAGCGCTTCACTGTTTAAGAAAGCTTCATTTCCCCATCACTATTTGAAAGAAATCCTTCTGTGAGATTCTTTAGTTGTGTGTTTATTGGTCATGCTGAATCAAGGAGAGCAGTTAAATCTGTTTATTCAGAAAACTAAATTTTTCTCAGGGGATTTCCTGGGTTTCTTTGTGTATATTTGGTTTTTGGGATTTATGAGAGCGCCCTCTGGCTTTCAGGAGGAGATTTACTACAAATCACATTGCACTTCCCTAAGAATACATGCACAATTTCACTTTTTGCTCACTTTTGATTTTAAATTGCTGAATTGCCCAGCTCTACTGTCATCTTAGACTTAGTGAAAATATATTTCAAATGGGAGAAGACAGACAGATCTAAGCCTGATATCTAAACTATACACCCTAATGTTGTGCTTACTAAAATAGCCAAGTTATCCTACATTTCGGCCACATATTTCACAAATAGGGTTTAATATAATTTTATTTAAATTAAAAATCTAAATCATCATGCATCAGTGTCACTTATAAACTAACCTGTTAGACTTAATTCTGTCATACATCTACAAGATTATGAAACCACAGTTGTATTGGTTTGGGTGTATTGCTAATAGTAATCCTGTGGTTCAACAGAATGACACCCAGCAGTGCTGTGAAAACACCTTGAAAACTGAACTCTCTCTCCAGATATCAAGAGTCAGTGCATCTCAACAATGCAGTCCTGGATTAGTTTTATATGATTTTAACAGTATGAACTGTCACCATTGTTGAGATTCATATGCTGATTCTTGATGTCAACATTCAGAAAGTGATGCAGACGTTTAAAATGTTTGCTGTAAAATGTGTTTTAAAAGCTTATGTGTGCAGAAAGATTTCAAGAACTTTATAATTGAGATTTCATTTTAAAAAAATATTTAATTCTACTAAATTAAAATAACAAAATAGAAGTAATTTCCAATCTGCGTAAACTTACACTAAATAACACTAAATATCAAATATTAAATAACACTAAAATAATTTGCTAAATAGCTTGACACAATTTAAGTGTCAAGTTTGGTTATCATAAATCTTAAGTACATTGAACCTTGCACAAGTTATACAAACTTAATTATGCAAGTTTTGGCAAAGTCAATTAATTAGTCAGGAGTAATAGTGTAATTATATCTTGCCAATTATTAGCTAATGATTAATTAAGCAGGAAAACTGCCAGTTGAAGTGCATTTCTTTGACCTGTTGTTGTAATTAACACATGAAATGTCATTGTTAGTTCATATAACATGCTACAGGGGATTTAATACATTGACACAGTTAACTAATAACTATTTATTTATTATTTAATGTATAAATCATGTTCATTTGTTGTTCATGCAGGAACTATTATTAAATGGTTTAGTTATGAGTTATACATTAACTTATGGTTATATTAGTGTGCCTGTATTGTAAAGGGTTACCTCAAAATCTTAATCGTTTGTGATGCAAAACAAATTGTTAGTGCTGTTTTGGCTTTTCAGATCTTAAAATAATATCCATAGGTCATTCTGGGGTCCCAGTTGCTCTAAAATCTCTCCAAATACTGTCATTTGTATTTGCTGCTTTCAACCCAGACTCATTATGGAAACTTAGCTTTTTATACATTTCTGGAAAGAGCTATATATATATATATATATATATGTATGTATGTGTGTGTGTGTGTGTTTTTACAAATTCACCAGAAGCCACGGTGTATGCTTTTCTCAGATCTCCAATTGCTCTCACGAGTGTCATTCGCACCGTTCTCGTGTAAATCAGCCAGAGGCCGCTGTCAACTGAGTGACTAACTGACTGATTACCCAACCCTCCTTCTCTAAACCCAACCTATAGTGTTGGTAATCTTGGCTGCCAGATTTTTACCATGATTTCAGATCTTACGATGTTCTCACCCTGTTATTTACCTGTTTATTTTTTGCCTTTAGTTTTTTTTACCTTCTTTCTGGAACCATTCTTCGTTGGACCCGAACCTTGTTGCCACAGTCCACTCTGAATGTTAGGCCGTACTCACACTAGGTACAGTTGCCTCGAACCAGGGCAAAGCACGCTTGTCCCCCCTCCCGTCTCCCCCGACGGCCCGCACTCACACCACAAAGGGGCCTCGGCACGCTTGCGTCATCGCTGCTGCGCTGTTCAGTGAGAAGCGCTCTCACTCAGCAGCACAGTGGAGATTTCTCTTGTTATATCATTTCAGTCGTTTGTTATGCAGTGACATGCAGTCATATTTCGCCAAACAGTCCTTAGGGATGCAGTGACACGCAGTCACATAATTCGCCGAACAGATCTGCCGCTTTTGGCGCTCATAAACAATCATAAAGCTCTCGTGCTGCAGGAATGAGGAGGTTTGCTGAAGGTGCAGCTGTCGTGCAGTGAGGGGTTTGCGTCTTTAATAAACTACGGCAGTTTGTGTTCTCTGAACAGTAAGAATGATTAATAAATCTATATAAAACAGCCCCTTAAGTCACGTCTTGCTTTCAGTTTCGGGCTTTGGTGCGTTTTGCGCTCACACACAAGTGTACCGCGCCAAAGCCCAAGTAAACCTCGCACAGGCACACCTCTTCCAACCGGGCCAGGGCCGGCCAAGTGAACCGTGCTTGAGCCCGATTCAGCACACTCACACTTCTCAAACGATCCAGGAAACGGGCCTGGGCACGGTACGGTGACAGTGGAAAAGAATAAATAGAGTGGTCAGCCGGTACCGTACTTCCCCATAGTCTTTTTTTTAAAGGCAAAATGCAGCCATATGTGCCTCTGGCTAAAAAATTCTCTCCAGAAATGTATTCAGGTCTACGTATTCACACTGAGCCTGTGTTGGCTTCTTTTGTGCCAGTGAAAGTTTCTTTTGTGCTGCCGCTTATGTTATTAAAATATTGGACAATAAATAGCATGCAACTTTAATGTGTGGCCATCTTGTCGAGATCTCATTGGAAGAAAAGATTACCTCAATGTGGCCACCAAGCTAAATAAAGCAATAAAATGCCAAGCCAGGCATACACTGTGTGATTTTCATGCAATTTGTATTGGAAGGTTACAAGCAGGGCCGGAGCAAGCTGAACTGCCGCTCTAGGCAGAGGACGATCACGCCGCCCTCAACCCCAATGTGAAAACGAAAGTGACCGGTTATGAAAATGAAGTGAGGTGTTGCGGACCTCTTTTCTGCCGCCCTATGCGCGGATATAACTGAGGACGTGCGAGAGCTGAGGGAGATGTCGCAGACACCGCGCTCTCTATTCTGCCGCCCTATGCGCGGATATAACTAAGGACGCGCGGGTGTCGCGGATCTCTAATCTGTAGTCCTATGCGCGGATATAACTGAGGACACACGGGTGCTGATGGAGACGTCACTGACACCGCCCTCTCTATTCTGTCGTCTATGCGCGAATATATCTGAGGACGTGGGTGGTGAGGGAGGTGTCGCGGACATAACTGAGGACGCGGGTGTAAGGGAGGTATCGCGGATGCCGCCCTCTCTATACTGCGGCCCTAGGCGGCCGCCTAGGTCGCCTCAATGGACGTGCCGGCCCTGGTCACAAGCAATGTAAAGCCAAAGCTGACAATTTATTCCAACCTTTCCTTGTGCTGCTTCTGTTGTTAAAATAATGGGTAATATCTCAACAAGATTTTCAGGCTTAATAAAGGAATAATAATAATAATAATAATAATAATAAAATATTAAGCCAGGCATACACTTTATGATTTCCATGCAATGCACCAATTCCCACTGTATGGCAATATCACATGCAATGTAAACCCGAAGCTCACAATTAATTCCATACTTTGCTTGTGATGTTTCTGCTATTATAAATATTGGACTTTGAATTAAAGTTGATGATATCAACATCACGCAGGTCAATTACCGTCATGATAAGGTTAAGTGTGAATAGCAATAAAAGGAACTGTTGATTGTGTCTTTACAGCTCCTGTGATTCTGGATCCAAACACTGCTCATCCACGTCTCATAGTGTCTGATGATCTGAGCACTGTCAGTTACAGCTGGGACGAACAACCACTTCCTGATAATCCGGAGAGATTCGATATCTATGAGTGTGTTTTGGGTTCAGTGGGGTTTAAAACCGGGAACTGCAGCTGGGATGTGGAGATTAGAGGAAGTGAATGCTGGAGTCTTGGAGTAACTACGGCATCAAACCAGAGAAAGGGCCGTGAGTTCTGTAACGCCGACGTCTGGAGGGTGACCTACGATCCGTACAATCAGCTCGGGTCTGATACTTCTGTCGAGCAGGATCTTGAGCGTGTGAGAGTGTATCTGGATTATGATAGTGGAACAGTGTCTTTCTCTAATCCCGTAAATAACAGACTTCTACACACATTCACAACTACCTTCACAGACACCGTCTTTCCGTTCTTCTGTAATCTTGATGAAGTTAAATCTCTAAAGGTTTTACCAGTTAAACTGTAGTAACACATAAAATAAGCCACAGAAATAAAATCTGATAATTAAACTGTAAATATTTCAATTAATCTACAACCCCAAATCAGAAAAAGTTAGAACAGTATGGAAAACGCAAATAAAAAAGTAGTGATTTCTAAATTAACTTTGACTTGTGTTTTATTACTGTAACGAGGAGACTGACACGGAGGTATCCATTATGCAGTATTTATTAATCACACTCTTACTCAAACACTCAACATGCACAAAGGTGCAAACACACATCAACAGTAGTAATAATGGTTTCAAGGCTGGCGGTAGACAGACACAGAGTGATTTACCAGGCATGAGTCAAAGGCAGGCGGCGTGATTCAGAGTCCGTGTATCAGGCTTGGGTCGAGGGCAGGCAGCGAGTATCAGAGTCCGTATATCAGGCTTGGGTCGTGGGCAGGTAGAAGGCAAAGCAGAGTCAGAGACGGGCTGGAGTAATACACAGGAGATCAGGCAGGATATAACGCTCAGTAATGCTGGCCGGGGCTAAACAAGACTTGACTGAATGTTTGAGTGCGGCTTATAAAGGGTACGTGGGTCATTAACTGGAATGTGATTCAGGTGTGCACGATCAGTGTAAATGGATGATGTAATGCTAGAAGTCAGGAGATGGTGGCCTCTGCTGGCCAGCGAGGGGAATGACTGGGACCGAGTCGGTGACAATTACAGACAATACAACAAACATTATTCTAATAGTTTTTTTCTTTCCCAAAATAAACACGTATTCCAATTTTGGTTCTTGCAACACATTTCAAAAAAAGTTGGAGCATAAAAGCATTTACCACTTTGTAATTTGTTGCCATTCCTTTTCACAACACTCAAAAGACGTTTATGAACCGAAGGCACCAAGTGATGAAGTGTTTCAGGTGTATTGTTGTCCTATTTTTCCTGCAAATAAGTCCTAAGATGGGCAACAGTATGGGGTCTTCACGGTCATATTTTGCACTTCAAAATGCACCACACATTCTCTGTTGGAGACAGGTCAGGACTGCAGGCAGGCCAGTCAAGTACCTGTATCCTCTTCCTCCACAGCCAGGACTTTGTAAAGAGTGCAGAATGTGGTCCCGCATTGTCTTGCTGAAATATACATGGGTGTTCCTGGAAAAGAAGGCAGCAGATTGTGCTCCAAAATCTCGATGTACTTTTTAGCATTAATGGTGCATCACAGAAGGGCACTGGCACAACCCCATACCATGACAGAGCCTGGCTTTTGGACTTGTTGCTGGTAACAGTCCTGAAGATCCATTTCTGCTTTGGTCCGGGGGACACAGTGTCTATTTCTCCCCAAAACATACCTGAAATATTGATTCATCTGACCACAGTACACATTTTCCATCTATGATGGTCCATCTCAGAGACCTCCAACCCCAGAGAAGTCGAAGGCACTTCTCAACACTGTTAACATATGGCTTCCTTTTGCCAACTGTACAGTTTTAACTGGCATTTGTCAGTTCAAATCATAATTACAATCACCTGTTGACATCACCTGTTTCAAATCATATCATTATTTGACTTTACCTGATTGCTAGACCTAAATTGCTCCTGTCACAACTGTTTTGCAGGTCTGTATGAAAGGAAAAAATGTATATTTGCAAATAAAATGAAGTTAATCAGACAAACCATGAACTTTCTAGTTCATATTGTCTGCAATGAAATGCAAGTAAATTTGGAAATCATGACTTCTTTTTATTTATTTATTTGCGTTTTTCATCCTGTTGCAACGTTTTCTGATTTGGGGTTGTTACATATGAAAAGTGTAAATTTAGAAGAAAAAAAATACATTCCACAATTTATCTTTGTATATTTAATGCTCTCTACGTGTGCTATTAAGATTTTTTACAATTTACCACTTCTAAAGACGTAATTACAAGCTTGTCACATACAAGTGCCTTGTTGTCAAAAATAAATGTTAAAATACAGCACTGCAGAGTTTTGTTTCATCTCAAAAACATGTATTGTTAAACAATAAAATATTAAAGACACTTCTGTCTTATGTTTTTTAATAGTCACCATTGTTGAGATTCTTGTTGATGTGTCTGATTCTGAAGCTGTAAAATTTTTCGTAAATAAAAATTTTTTATCAAATTTTCTCAATGGAGAGCCACATTACTGCCCTTTACAACATAAAACGAATAAAAAAAAATCAACCACATTATCAAGTTGATAACAAAGGCAAGGCAATGCAAGCTTATTTTTATAAATCAGCACACTAGGTGGAGGTAGTTATTACTATACCATGAGCACTAGCTAACTGATGCCACTCACATTCGAGCAAGATAAAAGGTTAAAACAAAGCCAAGGCAATGCAAGCTTATTTATATAAATCAGCCCACTAGGTGGAGGTAGTTATTACTATATCATGAGCACTAGCTAACTGATGCCACTCACATTTGAGCAAGATAAAAGGTTAAAGCAGGTGTCCCTGCAGGATTTAGCTCCAACTTGCCTCAACACACTTGCCTGGATGTTTCAAGTATACCCAAGACCTTGATTAGCTTGTTCGGGTGTGTTTGATTAGGGTTGGAGCTAAAATCTCTAGGACACCGGGCCTCATATGGGATTAGCTAAAATAAAATAATTTAACAATTCTCTTTTTTTCACAGCATTGTTCTGTGGTTGTATGTGGATGACCTGTTTTGCAGCAGTCTGGCAAGTCTCTTGTTTTAAATCAGTGATTCGGGGCATGCATCTTTTAGACTAATCCATGTGATTACAGTAAATTTGGGCTCAGGATTATGGTGACATGCTTAATGCTGCAGTGCATTCTGGGAGTATCATACAAAACTCATTCATGACACCCAGCATGCACTGCAGCATGAAACATGCATTAAGATCTAAATATTGTTTGTTAATATGTGTTTTAAAGTGGTTTTTAAAACACTGCTGTATTTTATTTTAAATAATGGTTATAAATAATATCAATATCACATTGCAACTGCTTAAATGAGTGACATCTAACAACATGAGCCTTTTCAAAATATGTGAGTAAAGAATTTGGACTGATGTTGCATCACATTATAAGAACAAAACAATAAAAACACATTTTTATTTTTATTTTACGCATGTGAATATGAATGCTTCACCCAGAACACCAACGACTTGCCCAAAGCTCTTGGTGAACCTCAACACACAACATATTGTATAATTCATCAGTTCACTTAAGTTGTTTCAGAGCAAAACATATTTTTGCTTTTTCTACTTTGAATCAAAATTTTAATAGAAAAAGGGCACTATGAAGCTAGAAGTTGAGACATTCAATCCTCAGCACTGATGAGAAAAATGATACATTTTCATTAAAAGAATTTAAGTAAAATTTGCATTACATTTTTTTAAATTAGTCTTATGAAAACATAGTTTAAATGGTCGTTCATGCATATTTGCTCTATTTTGTTTGTTTTTGATTTGACAGTGGATTTGAATCATGCATTTAAAGCTGCCTACATTCAAATCAAATTCAAACATACGTAAGTGAATTTTAAGTATTGAATAAGATGTAAAAAATTAAGAAGGCTGATGTCATACAAGTGTCAGTATAAAAAAAAAAATCAGGAGAAATCAAATGCAGGAAAAACAGGTATTTATTACTTCAGTGGCCTGTAGAGGGGATATAATACAACAAAAAATTCCCAGCACAGGGTGCTGTAAATGCCACAGAAAAGCACAAAATTCTGGCAAAAAAATAAATAAAGAAAGTTCAACAGAGGGCGCTCAGCGATCTAAAGTCGCCAGTCAAAAAGGGGCAAAAAGACAGAATGGATAATTACAGGCAATACTAAGTGCTTCCAGCAGGAGGCGCACGGCGGTCCAACTCTCCAGTCAATAACGGGAAACACAGCAGTATCAGCGGCGGAAGTGAAAGTGCCCGGGCGGGATACAAGGCGGCCAGAGAGGGAGAAGATCGCTGGTGGGCGGTATAGAAAAGGCTGAAGCAGAAAGTGAAGAAGGAAGCGTCTGCCACAACTGATAGCAGCGAGGGCGATCTGATGAAAGGGGAAAAAACAGGAAACAGTCTAAACCACAAAATCGAAATCAAAAAACTGACACTGAAGTCAAAATGGTTACAAGACAGAACACGATCTAGGAGGCCACTGCGTGAGGTAAACACACTAACGACCCGGTACAAGACAATGACAGTGAGAAGAATATATAGGGAGACTAATAAGGCTAAGACTAGAGACAGGTGCGAATAATGAAGTAATGATCTAATGAGTAACCTGATGAGTGGGTGGAGTGAGGCAGTGGAGCACATGGCGAGCTGTCAAAACAATGCCATGTGCTACGAGAAAACAAACACAAATGACTGTGACAACATGCAGGTGACAGACTATGACAGCTGAGAAAAACAACAGAATATTAATCCAATCGGTCATATAAAAGAATAGTTTCCAACTTTATTCAAAATATCTTGTGTTGAAAGAAACTCAAATATAAAGTAATGGGTGAGTAAATAATAAAATAATTTACATTTTTGTGTAAACAATGCCTAAAAATATTTTAAAAATAACTTATACACTCAAAAAAAAAATCATAAATGTAATCAAGTTGCTTGCGGCTGGTCCTGCATTATCCACTTTATGATTCACCAATCAGATGATTACTAAGCCACTATGAATGCCCTAAGTTTCAATATTACAGCCATCTTCGACTTGAGGAATCCCCCTTCCACCCCGACCCAGTGGTTAGCACTGTTTCCTCACAGCAAGAATGTCATTGGTTCTAGTCCTTACCAAGCCAGCCAACGTTTTCTCCGGTTTCCTACCACCATCCAAAAACATGCAACTTAAGTTAATTGACTGTTCATTAGCTACTACAGCAGGGGAGTTCTCGAAATCTACCTGAGCTCAAACTCCTCTCTCTCCTTGCAAATGGGAGGGAACCCCAGGCTTGAGGCTCTCTCCCGGGACAGCATGCCAAACAAGCTTTATAATCAATCATCAGCCAAGTGTGATCTCTTAAATGCAATTCAAAAACAACTCACTGAAAGCACCCATGAATCAAAAACAGATCATCAAAAATGAACAGACACTTTTTTACAGTGTTATACTGCAGTAATTTGCTGCACAATTCATGTACAGGCAATCAATACGTTTTCCCAATGCGATATGTA